CCCCCCCACCACCACCGCCGAGGTCCCCAAAGGCTCCGCGTCGTCCTCGGGGCCGGCGCCGGACTCACCTGGGGTTAAGGCCGAGCTTTGATGCGAGGCTTTTAATTGCGGCAGGCATCAAGCACCAGGACGCGGGGATGTATAAAGGATCGGCGTATTCCGGCTACCCCTTCCTCATGCTCTCCGACCCCTACCTGCCCAACGGATCCATGTCACCGCTGGTGAGTCCGGCCTCCGCTCGCCGAGGAGCTGGGTGGCCTCCCTCGCTGCCGAAGCGCGTTGCAGGCGCCGGCGTGTGCTTCTGCTCACGAATTGCTGTTTCTGAAATGCCCGGACAGTGTCCTGTCCCGGCTGGAGGGAAGAGGAGTGGGAAGGGGGAGCGATGCTCGGGAGGCAGCGTTCGGTTCTCTCCGAAGTCGCTCGAGGAGCTTCTTTTCAAACCTCCGTGTCCTCCGCGTGCGCTTTCCCCCCAGCCCGACCCCCAGACCCAGCCTAAGATGCCCCCTGCTTTATTTGCGTCCCAGGGTTTGGAGGCGAGCGGCTCCTGGTGTTCGCGTTCAGGGATGCGTCCCGCAGTTTAACTTTTGCTCGATGTACCTGCACGCAGAAAGGCCTCGGTTTGGCCTCCCTTCGGCAAAGGCTCTGTCGTGGTTGAGCTCCCAAAAGGTGGACCTTACGCTTTTTTAGTTGCAATAGAGGTTTTTAGAGGAAACTCTTTAATGCTGCTGGAGGCAGTACTGCGCTATTCCAGTCTCGCTCCTACCAAGTTTTACCCTCTCAGCTCAAATCTAGTAATTCTGTACGCTTCAACGTTTATAGTAAGTCTTGCTGTGTGCATAATTAAACTAAGGGATCCGCTGTAAAAGCGGTCTTTACCCGTGGCCGTCTCTGTCAGAACTTCAGGAAGGGATTTCGCAAGTTGGGATAAAGCGTGTTCTTGTTACGTGTTCGTTTCGGACAGTATTCCGCATTTACGGCGGGGTGAATGACAGCATCATTCATTTTATTTCACTTTGAGTTTTTTAACCTTTAAGGTAATGAGGTTAAAAAAAAAAAGTAGATACAATGGCCTCCTTAATATAACCCTTTCAGACGTTTGTGCTTTGGAGGGGGAGGCTGTTAAACTGGTGTTAGGAAAAATGGGTAGGTTGTGGGGTATGAAGCAGCCTTTGAGTTAAGCCGTGAATAAAATGCTGTTCGTTGCAATCACTGCCGGACCGTGCCGTGCTGTGCTGCTCGCCTGCGAGGCAGCAAGGACGCAGATGCTCCCGTAAGGCTCTTTGCACCCGCCGCACGCCCTTCGTTGTTACACCGTGGAGCAGATCGTGTGCTGCTGTAGACTATCGTGACCCTGCTGAAGGCAGGACACAGCCATGGAGGACCTGTCCCTGAGCGTGCTCTCCTCCAGCTTGCAGGAAAAAAGGATGTGTTTGCAGTGGCGGGGCCAGTGTGCAGTATGGTAACCAAAATAAGCATTTCTTCTGTGGCTTCCCACCTCGTGTCCCCTCCCCCAGGTAGCAGGTATCCCCCTCACCTCTCTAAAATACAAAGCTGCTCTCTGCCTGTTAAAAGTTTAAGTCATGATATAAAATCTGTTTTATTTAAAAGCATGCAGTTTGCTCCCTGGTAGAGAGTTTGGATAGTCCCGAGTTACGCCGGCCCGGCAGGTATTCATTGCAGCGGAGTGTTTCTTTTAGTCTTAAATGCTTGTATATGGGACAACAACGTGGCATAGCCTATTTATCAGCAATTAGGCTAAAAAGTAGATTTTTGGTTTAGGAACTACCCTTCCCACTGATCATGTGAAAAGGGTCCAACCAAGTGCAGCAGATGGAAGCAGACAGGCTGAGCAGAGCTCCGGGCTGAGGAGGAACGAGTCCCGGCCCGTGGAGATCCACGCAAGTCCTGCCGCTGCCGTGGGGGGCTTTGCTTCAGGCCTGTTCGGGTCGTGTAGCGTTTCATGGCTCAAAAAGCTGATTTAACATTTTCGGCTTAAAAATCTGTTACCTAGCTAACGGACAGGGGAAGAAGATGTCTTCCTCAAACAAAGGCTGGTCTTTCCCTTGGTTTTTAGAGGTAGTGCAGCAGCTATTGCAATACATTTTGGGGTCGAGGGGGCGGCTTTTGTCCTGGGTTGGCATTGACTGCGTAAAGGTTAGCATCTTAGATCCTGCATTACTCTCGGGTGGGTTTGTTGCTGCTGTGTGCATTATATAAAATGTGGGCTATAATCTGGTGGCTGCTGCCAGTAATTGAGGAGGTCAAGTCTGTGACCAAAGGTTCTGGATCCCTAACCCTCCGTAAAAGTGCGTTTAATTAATGTTTTCAGCCCAAGAAGAGCTGAGGGGGAGGACTGCGTGAGTGCATGGGATTACGTATCACAGTCACACATGCGCCTGATAGCGAGGACCGTGTTCGGTCTGAGTGGAGCTTCCTGTAAACATTTGCGTGCAGCTAGGATTTAACTTCCTAATCCTTGAAAAAAAAAAAAAAAACGCTGAAAAATTAGCCCCGCAGTGCTTTTTCCAAACTTTCCAGGGTTTTGCATGGAACGGATGGAAAACCAGAAGGCAGCCTTGACCTGGAGGGGTCAAGGGCCGTCGGAGTTAAGGCTGCGGCTTGAGCCCCCACCCTGTCGCGCGCTGTAAAACCGCGT